GGACGATATTCGCAGGTAAAATTGTATTCTTGAAGCTGTTCCTGCCATCTTGCTATCTGACCCTCCGGCTCACGAAAGTTTTTAACCACTGAAGTGACTGGTGCTCGGTGCGTACCTGAAAGGATTTTCCAAGTAGGTACGGCCTAAAATGTCGCAAAATGCTAACCAGCGCCAGTAGTTCCCGTCGAGTGGCGCTGTACTTTCTCTCGCGCTTATTTAAACGGCGACTAGCGTATGAGATCACAACTTCGCCCGCCGGAGTTCCCTGGGATAAAACTGCACCGATCGCTTTATCGCTCGCATCTGTATCCAACACAAAAGCTCCCGGCAGTTATGGCAGGAGAATTGCGTTATGGCAGCAGAATTTCCGTCCCTTCCAGTTAAACGATGTAAGGGAGATGAGGTGGCCGCAAACTTAAAAATAAACCATCTATAGTACGAAGCCAATCCCAAGAAACTTCGGAGTTCTGCTGTCGTTTGCGTTTGTGGCAAGGAAGTAATTTTTTCACATTTCGCCGGGTCGGTCCTCACACCTTCATGGGAGATAATGTACTCCAAGTACTTAAGTTCACGCAGGAGAAAATGGCATTTTGGACCCCGTAGCTTCAAGCACGCCACGCGCAGCCGATCCAGTACGAGGCGCAGCCGCCGGTTATGCTCCTCAATCGATCGCCCATAAACGATTATGTCCAAATAATTTGAACAGCGACCTGGTCTCAGACCCTCCAAGGGTTTCTGCATTAGCCTCTGAAACCTAGCCGGAGGATTAACCAGACCAAAATGTATCGTTTCAAATTCATATACACCGTTGGGAACGGTGAACGCCGTTTACTCACGATCCTTGGATCTTAATTCTACTTGCCAGTAACCACATGCAAGGTCCAACGTAGAGAACCAGCATGAACCATGCAGTGCATCGAAGGTGGCATCAAAACGGGGCAATGGAGATGAGTCTACGTGTTACCTCGTTAAGCTTTCGAGAATCAACGCAAAGCTGCAAGGCTCCATCTTTTTTCTTCACTAAAAGGATTGGCGACGCCCCCGGTGACGATGAATGTTTAATGATACGTTTGTCCAGCATCTCTTTGGTCATTGACTCTAACTGCGGTTCGTAATGAACTGGTAACCTGCGCGCATATTGAGGAATAGGTGGGCGGGACATGGTGTCAATCTAATGATCAAATAGGTTCGTACGGCCAGGAGAATCAGCTATCGAAACCACCTCTTCAAATTCTCGTAGCACTGAGATTAACTGGTCAGTGTTGTCTGTGGTAACGTTAGTGCGTCCAATAATCGGCTCAATGACCACCTTTTGGAAATGCGTTGCTAGTGTTGATGTGGCTGCGATAGTGAACACTCCTCGGTCGTCCTGCTGATGATCAATGACGGTTGGCGCAGGACTCATCAATACGGTCCCGCATCAGAGTGCCACTGTACAACCATGACGGGCGAGGAAATCCATTCCCAAAATAGCGTCCCAAGTCAAATTTCGACAAGCCATAAAGTTATGAGTGGCTACTACTTCATCAAGCTTTACGCGTGCTGGCAGTGTAAATTCTGTTCGCAACTCCACCCCATTGGCGGTGATAACGTGAGGCTGCTGGCTGGTAACCGTGCACATGTTCCTAAGGCTGTGGGCTATATCAAAGTGACGTAGAGAACACGAAACACCAGCATCAATCAAAAAATGCAAGCTAATATTCTCTATACATCCACTTATCGCCAATAGTTTAGAGGGTAGATTGCCAGTGAAAGATGATGGCCAAAGCTGACAATTGTGCAAAGCTGACCTACCTCGTGGTATTCGAAAGACGGTAGGTGGGTTGTGTCCACAGCGCTGGGCCCATCTGCCGAACCGGTGACAGTATACGCAGTTCTCCAAGGGGATTTTCGCACTGGGGAGTGGTGTCTGTGATCTGCTGCGAAAACGTCAGCCGATGGGCGTAAAGTTGCACCACTATCATGACCAAGATGGGTTCGGTCGGTTTTGACTTGTTCCAGCAATTCCCGATTCCTGGCCTTCTCCAAAACTTCCTCCAGCGAACGAGGAAGTTTCAAGGTATATTTGTCACTGAGGTATTGGTCGCGCAGGCCCATCACGAACCTCTCACATATGCACTTTCCAGATCTGCGAATTGAAGATCTGGAAACCATTTTTGAGCCAAAATTCTGAGGGCAGCGTGGAAGGCGTCTCCGTTCATTGAGAGTAGCTGACGCAGAGCGAAGAATGTGTCACGGTAGAACGCAACGGGGTGGCATTGGGAAAACAGGTTTCGGAGAGTGGTCCAGATCTTTACCACTGGTGAATTAGCAGGTACGCTCATTGTTAAGGATATCTGCAACGCTTCTTCGCTTAAGAAACTGAGGATAATCGACCCAAGTGACCTTTCTGGCGCTGTAGCGAGGTAAGCGTTGACTTCAACGTACCGGCTTTCAAAGTCATCACCCGGGCTGAAAAAACGCGGGTTGGCGACTGAGGGATGGGAGCTGCAAACTTGTGTCCCGGGCACAACGCTCAATCTTCGGTGGGCTAACATCTTTATTTTGCTCATAATTCCAGAACCGCCCGCGACGCCATTTTGTAATATATTCCGAATGGTGGTTTCAAGACACGGACGAGTAGTCCCGGCTACAAAAGAACAGCACGTGAGAATCAGCGACCGAGTAACTAACATAGTAGCGCGTACGAAACTGCAATCATGCAAGACGACGATGCTCTACAGAGTCGACCACGAGAACAAGCAAGCTGGACGGAGCCGGATGTATACGACAGTGCGGCATGCGAATAGCGTGGTACACGGCAAGCAAGTATATAAACAAGGAGTTTACAAGGAACAGGTACTGGGGCTTTGCTTTTGATTCCCTTCCTTCATTGTGCATTCGGTACGCCAAGCCCTGTAAAATAAGCAAAGGAGACATAAGTAATGGCGGTCAATTTAAACAATACTTTTCGGTTTCAACTGTGCTACATCGTTCGCAGTCGAGTAGCTCATCAGAGGCAGAGATCGTATTTGTGTTTCCTACAAGCGGGAACAACGTTTCAACAGGCAAACCGAACAGTTCTCTAATACATAAGATTGCTATAATTTGAATATTTTACAATAGTTTACATAGTCATACCGGAGAAGCTCCAGTTCTTTACACTCCGGCCGTAGACTGGGATGCAGTTCATTATAATTTACCTCCAGATTCCTTCGATACACGTTTATTAGAACTAGTCCTCGAATGTGATCTAACGCAACACGTTTTATCCCATACCCGTATTGTTCCAGGCCACATGCCATGAGAATGCTGTTTAAATGCCGCATAAGGCCGATGTAGATACGGCTAAGACGCGAATCCAACCCACTATGCGGTTGCATTGGCCTTTCATTTGCCCCGACCCTAACTCTTTTTACCCTGTGATTAATGAAAACCTCGAGCTTTTATTGCCATTACATGCAAGGTTCCAATGATGCCTCAACTTGTGCTTGTAGGGCTTGTACATAGCTTTCCTCCTAGTTGTACTCTCCTATCCTCAATTCCATCATTATTGTACAGTTGTGTTTTAACTGAAAAACAACCTATAAGACACTTTCAGGTTTCGATTCGTCTTCTGTTTTCGGCTCCGCGTGTTATGGGGACGGGCTAATTTTGTCATTGGAACATTGGAACATTGTATTTAATGGGAATAAAAGCTGGAGCTTTACATGACCCATAGGGTAAAAAGAGTATGGGTCGGGTTTAATGAAAGGCCAAGCAACCTTATAGCGGGTTGGACTCGCGTGTTAGCCGTATCTTCATCGGGCTTATGTGGCATTTAAACAGAATGCACGCCGGCTCAAAGCGAGACATCCCACCACGCCCTCCGAAACGGCTTTGGAAAGGAAGGTGGAAGAGAAAAAAAAGAAAGAAATTCCATCCAGTAGAATGTAGTTAAATTAGGGAATATCGCGGTGTAGCTCGGCCAGATGACAGTCCAAGCGGGCCTTAAAGTCCGCCACAGTGGGTGCCAAGACTAAATCGGCCGGCAGAGCATTCCACGGTCGGCAGATTCGCAAAGAGAAGTAGTGTCGTCTGCAGTTCAGCCGACTGTGCTGATGTGTGAGCCTCAGTGGGTGGCCACGTAGGTGGGAGCCCGATTGGTGCAGTGTGCGTAGGTGGCGACAGGGATGTCCAGGGTTGGATAAGATCATGAATACGAGGATCAGGTCGCCCCGTAGACGTCGGTACTTAAGCGAGTAGAGGCCCAGGCACTGAAGTCGTTGTGGATAATCTAGGTGCTTGAGACCTCGGACCAGTTTGGTTGCTCGACGTTGTGGGGCTTCGAGTATGCGTTGGTCCTTCAACAACCAAGGGCTCCAAGCCTGAATAGCGAACTCCAAGTGGGGTCGGAGAAAAGCGTTAAGGAGGAGGCGGAAATTGCTGGGGTCAATTTGACCGAAGGCTCGTTTCAGCAATCCCACCATGCGGTTAGCAGCAGCAGCTGCTTTCCGGAAGGAAGCGGATACGGAAAGACTCGTCTGGGTAATGATACCCAAGTCTCTTTCGGCTGAAGAGATCTGGAGGATAGACGCTCCCAGGTAATATACTGGAGAAAAAGCGGAAGGGCGGGTAGAAAGGACGCGACATTTCGAAGCGTTAAATGGAAGGTTATTTTCTATGGACCACTGATGTAGACGGTCGAGGTCCGTCTGAAGTGCGTGGGCATCGTCCGGAAGGTTAACTGTGCGCCACAGCTTGGCGTCATCCGCGTATAGTAGCAGCGAAGACTCCACTTGCGGTGTGACGTCGTCAATGAAGGCTAGGAAGAGGTGCGGGAAAGGGTTTCGCTACCGTTGCCCTCGTTAACGTCCAAGTTTGTTGGAATGGCTGCAGAGCACATTCTTAATTTTGTTGGCATTAAGGTGCGGGAAAATAGAAAATAATGCCATATGGATTTGCTTCATTAAAACGGTTACGGAAAACGGTACTCACAAGTGTACTGTGAGTGCTACGCGGTAACTCGGTTTTTTGGCGTGCCATACTGATCGAGATTTTTAGTTGAAATAACGTGGAAAACAGTGTTTGAATAAACACTTGAAACGAAATTTGGCTCTTGTCAAATTTCATCTGATCCAAGATATCTTGGGTCGACTAAAGTGGTACTGGCCAAAGCGTCTTCCTGACGCTTACTGGTAATTTTGCGGTTGTTCCCTTTTTAATCCCGTTTTACACCCTGTTTTGCCTTTTTATTGTGGTAGTTTTACGGTTGTGTACGTGTTTTTAAATTCTGCGTTGTTTTCCACTTCAATATGGTCGTCTCGCGAAAAACCGGGACGGATGAAGCCCTCGCGTCTTCGTTTGATGAGTCAAATGCACCTTGCAGCAATTCTGCCTGTTCAAGGCCAGTCACAGATTCATCTGGTGGTATGCAGTGTGATATTTGCTCTCGTTGGTATCACAAAAGTTGTACCGGCCTCCGAGCGAATCAGTACAAGATGCTATCATCCAGTGAAAGCCTTCTGTTTAGATGTGCTGATTGTTGCGCTCAGAAAGCGAAGCTCCCGGCTTTCACCTGTGCTGAATTCAAAGCACTAGCGTCCAGATTCACAGTTGTCGAGAAGGCATTAGCCGAGCTTGCCTCACTTGCCTCGCTCAATTCTAAAGTGGATTTGATTATGAAATCCCTGAATATCGCGAATGTGGACGCTGTAACTGACTGTCCTTCTGCTGATAGTCCAACCGTTGACGAGGAGTTCATCCTACCGGACGCTCCTGTTCACGTGGATATAACAGACACAGATGCCTCGGACGGCATTGTTGACCCGCCCCAAATGGAAGGCGAATCACGGGCTCCTGAGCCATTAAAGAATAAGCGTAAGAGGGTAAGGAAAGCGCGCAAACCCTCCGCCCCCAAACCGGAAGGTGACAAAATGCTCAAGAAGCAAGCGCCTGCTTTGAAAACACCACCTGGTGTTGCACTTCCCTCAGTGAGACAAGAGGTGCCGTCGCCTTCGGTTTCACCAATTCCCGTCAGACAACCATATGGCGTGGATGGTAGAGCATGTGGTGTAAATACACCTCGTCGAGGCGATTCTTACACAGATAGCAGTGTGATTTTCAGAAACGTCACTGAATCCACTGCAGCTCTTCCTGCCGAGCGCATGCTTGAGGATCTTGATTGGCTTAAAGTTTGTGTGACCAGGCTTTTACCACCAGGTTTCCCTGGCGTTACTGTCAGGAAGCTCATCAGATTGGGGAACGTTACGGTTGGTCAACCAAATCCTCGACCCCGTTTGCTTAGGGTGGTCCTCTCCACCCCAGAAGAGCGCAGGGCCTTACTGAGATTTGCCTTCAAACTCAAAGGTACCAACGTTAGTGTGCAACCAGACCTTCCGTTAGCGGATAGGTTAAAGTTAAAGGAAGCCATCAGAGACCTAAAAGCCCGGCGTGCAGCTGGCGAGCAAGGTCTCCGATTGGTGGGTTTTCAGGTGGTCAGCCGGCGGTCCTTTTCCGCCCTGCCAGAACCTATACTAATTGCGCACGACCCAGGGCTGGTCGGGCCGAAACACTCCAAGTAGTACTTAGTAACGTGCGTAGCCTGAGGAACAAAATGTGCGAGGTGGGTCTGCTCGTAGACAAATCTCGTCCAGATATACTTGCTTTCACTGAAACGTGGCTGTCTGAGGAAATCACAGATGGCGAAGTATATCTGCCTGGCTACGCACTGTTCCGCGCTGATCGCTCCACTGGCCGTCAAGGGGGTGGTGTAGCTCTTTATGTGAGTTATCACATCGACGTATTGAGGACCAGCGTTTTTCAGTCTCTCGACAAATCTGTTGAGGCTCTCGCAGTCTTGATTTGCGCTTCCTCGGTTCAGGTTACGGTTGTGTTAGTGTATAGAAGCCCTATGAGCACCTCCAATGGAATCATTGACTTTATACGCACTCACTCTGCGAACAAGTGTCTGGTGCTGGGAGACTTTAACCTCCCAGATGTTTGTTGGGATGATCTATCTTGCAGTTCGACGCTGGAATCGTTCGGTACAGAACTGCTGGACTTGACGCTGCAGGTACCACTACACCAGTTCGTGGACCTCCCCACTAGGTACATGAGCAATCAGCAGCCGTCCATTTTAGATCTTGTTTTTGCTAAGTCACTTGACTTTGTAAATGACATTAAATATGACTCGCCTCTTGGCGCTAGCGATCACGTTTGCTTGTCTTTCCAGTGTGCTCTTATCAGGTCTTGCCAAGCTACTACCAGTTGGTATCCGAACATTTGGGCCGCGGACTTCCAAGCGATGCGGGATAGAGCTAGGTCATCGCCTTGTGTGATATCTGAGACCGACACTGTTCACATAGCCTGGGAAAAGCTTAAGGCTCACCTCGTCGACATTTCTGCACCTCACGTCCCACTGGTAAAAAGAAGGGAATCGAGAGCGCAGCCTCCGTGGATAGATTCCGCGGGGAAGGGCCTGCTAAAGAAGCGGTCTAGATGCTGGCGAGCTTACCGAACAGCTCCGTCAAACAGCACGTTTGACAAGTATCGGTTGGTTCGAAATGAGTGCAAGCTACATCTTAGGTTGGCCCGGCTTCAGTATGAAAAGGGCTTAGCTAATACTGCTTCGAAAAATCCCAAGAGATTCTTTGCTTACGTTAAACGACGCTGTGGTGCAAACTCGCCCATTCCACCATTGCTTCGAGGAGATGGGACCCATGCCTATAGCGACTATGACAAGGCATGCGTGCTTGGTAAGCAGTACTCAAGCGTCTTTGTCCGCGAGACAAATACGCCATGCAAAGAGTTAGCTTCAAGGGTCTCTGAGGACTGTTGTCTGGATGAAATTCCTGTAACTGAGTCCCAAGTTCTCCGGTTGCTAAAAGAGGTGAACCCAACTAAGGCTTCTGGGCCAGATTCTGTTCATCCAAAATTGTTGCACGAATTGGCAGGGGAACTCAGTGGACCTCTGACTTGTGTGTTTCAGAAGTCACTCAACAGCTGTATCTTGCCTACCGAATGGAAGGAGGCTGTTGTCTGCCCGATTTTCAAGTGCGGTGACAAAGACCTACCGGCTAATTACAGGCCTGTCAGCTTGACTAGCGTGGTCGTTAAGTTACTTGAAAAAATAGTACGAGATACAGTGGAGAACCATTTAAGTAGGTTTAACCTGCTTAGCGTCGAGCAACATGGTTTTCGCAAAGGATTTTCGTGTCAGACGAACTTGCTGGTAGCTCGAGAGTGCTGGGCTGAAGCCGTAGACAGTGGACATGCGGTGGATGTGGTGTTCATTGACTTCGCCAAGGCCTTTGACACTGTCCCCCATTCGCGACTCTCGCTGAAGTTGAGGTCGTATGGAATAGCTGGTCGTGCTCTCCAGTGGGTGTCAGCTTTTCTGGATGGACGGGAACAGTGTATTCGTGTGGGAAGCAGTCTTTCGTTTCGACAGGCTGTGCTTAGCGGCGTTCCGCAAGGCTCTGTCCTAGGTCCGCTGCTGTTCTCAGTCTACGTGAATGACTTGCCGGAGGAGCTTGAGGTACAATCGCTTTTATTTGCAGATGACCTAAAGCTCTGGAATATTGTTGATATCCCTGGAGGTCCTATGGCTCTTCAACGGGCTCTGGATAAACTCTGGGAATGGTCTGTCTTGTGGTTGCTGCCTATAAACCGGGCAAAGTGTTCAGTGCTGCGTATCGGAGCGTCTGATTCCTCCACAAGTTATGTGCTCGATGGGACTGTACTTCCTCACGTGACTCATCAGGTTGATCTAGGTGTCGTCCACTGTTCCACATTACACTCTGGAGACAACTGGAAGAAGGCGGCTAGTAAAGGGTTCCGAATGTTGTGGTTTATCCGTCGTTCTTTTGGGACCCTAACCGCTGATGTGTTTGTGAAGCTCTTCTCAGCGTTTGTGCGACCCCACCTAGAATATTGCGTCCAGGCCTGTCCACCATGCCTTGTCCGGGACAAAATGGCACTAGAAAGGGTGTTGCGTGTCGGTACTAGGTTGGTCAAGGGATTACGAGGGCAAACGTACCCCGAACGCCTACTTAGTTTGGGGATGCAGTCAATGCACTATCGAAGAATTAGAGGGGACCTAATCCTAACCTACCGTATTTTGACTGGGAAGGTTGGCCCTGATTTGTCCATGCTATTTAGTCCTGCTAGATTATCTGGTCTCCGCGGGCATTGTATGAAGCTGGACAAACCGCGGTCCGATCGAGTTAGAGCGGAGACACGCTTATCGCGTCGAGTCATCGAGCGCTGGAACCTGCTTCCTGAAAATGTTGTCAAGGAAGCTACGGTTAAGGGGTTTGAGCGTCAACTAGATGCTCTTGGGTGGCAACACGAAACCCTTCCGTTTTCCTGACAAATTCCCATCTTCATACTTCGATTCTATTTTCTTTACTTTTCCTCGCCATTGGTATTATTCTCTTCTTTTAACTGATTTCCCCTACTCTCTTACCTTCGATTCTCCTTCCTCTCTTACTTACTTCACGTAACTGACACAGCTAGGACAGCTAATGTTAGGAACGTGGGCATTAAATTGGTGGACCAGGGTGTTTTTCTGGTGTTTTCCTTTTAGACCCATCAAGAAGTCGGAGCACCCCTATCAACTCCTGGATCGACGACCCGCTCAAGAAGGAACACTTACGGGATTCATCCTATCGTTCCAGTCCCACTTGAACTTGAACTTGAAAAGTGGTGTTCTAGTGTTTGCCAAGTCACTAGACTTCGTAGGGGACATCACTTACAGCTCTCCCTTAGGTGCTAGTGAGCATGTTTGCTTATCGTTCAGGTATCGTCTGACCAGGCGTCACCAGAGCATTGCTAAGCCATTTCCAAACATATGGCGTGCTAACTATCAGTCAATGCGTACCAAGGCTGCTGGGATGCGTTGCGAAATCTCGGTGGTTGATGCGGTTCAGACGGCCTGGGATAAATTTAAATCATATCTCACGGAAGTGTCTACTCTCTACATCCCGCTTGCGAGGAGAAAGGAGACACGGGCATGGCCGCCGTGTATAGATACCACTGGCAAGTACCTGCCCCAGAAGCGTTCTAGGTGCTGGAGGACCTACCGTGCGGCTCCATCAACTAGCAATTATGATAGATACCGCGAGGCTAGAAATAGGTGTAAACAACAATTAAGGAAGCTCGGCTGGTGTACGAAACGGAATTGGCTGATGGAGCTTCGGAAAATCCGAAGTTCTTCGCTTATGTTAAGAGACGTTGTGGTTCAACTTCGGTAATCCCAACGTTGATGCGGGCAGATGGAACTTGTGCGTATGCAGACTCAGATAAGGCTCGTGTACTTGGGGAACAGTATGCAGGGGCTTTTGTACGTGAGGCCGCGTTGACTAGCCTAAAACTTGTCTCCAGAGTACCTGAGGGTTCTTATTTAGCTGAGTTTACTGTGGTGGAAACGCAAGTCCTTAAACTGCTGCAAGAACTGAACTCTTCCAAAGCAGCTGGACCTGATTCAATTCACCCGAAGCTTCTGCATGAGTTGGCGGTGGAACTGAGTGGACCGCCGACGATGGTGTTTCAGAAATCACTTGAGAGCTGTACATTACCTTCCGAATGGAAGGAGGCTGTCATCTGTCCTATCTTTAAAAATGGCGACAGGAGTCTCTCAGCCAATTATAGGCTAGTTAGTCTGACTAGCGTCGTGGTCAAACTGCTTGAAAAGCTGGTGAGAGATTCGTTGGAATGTCACCTGAATAGATTTAATCTACTCAGTAGTGCACAACATGGATTCCGGAAGGGGTTTTCGTGTTTAACAAATTTGTTGGTTGCGCGTGAAGCTTGGGCCGAGGCAGTGGACAATGGCCACGTGGTGGATGTGCTTTTCGTAGACTTCTCGCAAGCATTTGATAAGGTACCCCACTTGAGGTTATCACAAAAGCTGATGTCCTACGGCGTATCTGGCCGCGCCCTTCACTGGGTACCTGTGTCCTTGCAGGGAAGAGCGCAGTGTGTACATGTGGGTCGCAGCTTATCCTTTAAGCAAGCGGTCCTTAGCGGTGTCCCACAAGGCTCGGTCCTTGGACCGATGCTGTTCTCCATCTACGTAAACGATCTCCCTGGAGAGCTTGGGGTATCATCCCTATTGTTTGCTGCTGACCTTAAGCTATGGACTGTTGTAAATGTTCCTGGGGGTTCTGAGGCCAAACAGCATGCACTGGACAGACTCTGGGACTGGTCTACTTTGTGGCTACTGCCCATAAATCAGGCTAAGTGTTCCGTCCTTCGTATAGGAGCAACTTTCCCGCCTTCGAGCTCCGTACTCTGTGGGGTCGAACTCTCCCTTGTCTCCAACCAGGTACACCTAGTCGTCGTTCATTCCACGTCTTTGCATTCTGGTGACAACTGGAAGAAGGCGGCAAGTATGGGTTTCAGTATGTTGTGGTTAATACGCCGTTCTTTCGGGGTCTTAACTGCCGACATATTTGTGAAGCTGTTCTCAGCTTTCGTCCGGCCCCATCTGGAATAATGCGTCCAGGCTTGCTCGCCCTGCCTTGTTCGGGACAAAATTGAGCTTGAGAGGGTTTTGAGAGTAGGTGCCAAATTGGTCGAGGGTTTACGGGGGCAATCGTACCCCGAATGTCTACTTAGCTTGGGTATGTATTCGATACACTACCGACGGCTTCGAGGAGACCTAGTCTTTACTTACCGCATTTTAACAGGGAAGGTTGGACCGGGCTTGCGCTGGCTATTTAGCCCGGCTAGGTTGCCTTGCCTTCGCAGTCATCCCATGAAGCTACACGATCCGCGTTCTGACCGGATCAGGGCGGAAACTCGGTTATCGCGTAGAGTTATCGAGCGCTGGAACTCGCTTCCAGAAAGTGTAGTCAGTGGACCTACGGTTAAGGGTTTCGAGCGTCAGTTAGACGCTCTTGGGTGGCAACACGAAACCTTTCCCTTCTCCTGACCATATCCATCTTCAAACTTTTAGTTCTTTTTCTGTCCTTCTCTTCACTCTTTGGTGGTATACTTCATTTTAATGACCTTTATTCCCCTTTATCTTCCATTTACTTTCTACTTCTTCCTTACTTCACGTAACCTACACAGCGGGGACTGCTAGTGCAGGGAACGTGGGTAATAATTGGTTGATCAGGGTGTGTTTCGGGTGTTTCGTTTTAGATCTATCAAGAACTAGCGCCTTATCATTTCCTGGCTCAACGATTTGCTCAATAAGGAACACTGAAGGGATTTTCCTATCGTTCCAGTCCATCTGAATCTGAAGCGCCAGGAACACCAACACTACGAACTATCCTTGGCAATATATGTATATATGACACACAATCTGTTGTACAAATATTGTGCCATCTGAATCATGGCTAAATAGGAAAACAGTATGAATAATATGAAAAAAGCAACAACCAAAGCTTTTTATTGTCTAGTTTACCACTCACAGTTTTTGAAATTTTTCGGCTTGTTCTTCTTTTAGGGGGAGCAAGAAGGGACACCGCAACACACCGATGCACACGTCCGCCATTGACATCGATCTTGCGCCATGACTTCTATGATCTTCATCCAGCTAGTTTCCGCATTTCTCTGACCCCAACCGGGTAGTCGACAACAACCGGCCGAGACCAACTGTTTCATCAGCTTTTTCATGCGGCTTCTCCATATTGTAGACTGTCCACCAGACCGTCTCCTCCAGCCCTGTCCAGCGTGTGCAAACAACGCATGACGGGGTTAACGCTGGATAGGCATGCGCAATACGTGTCCCAACCACCGCAGTTGATGCAATGGGACGAGCTCCTCGAGCGAGTGGCTTCCACGTCACAAGACACGCTGTCTAACTTCCACATTGCTGATGTTGTGCTGCCACCACACAAGGGCAATGAACCGCACACAGCAGTGTTCGAAGACGGAGATAGATAGGGCATCCTTGTCGAACTCCACTGGAGACCACAAAAGTAGGCGAAAGCTTCCATAGTCTCTAACCCTGTTTGAGGTCAGACTATGTGGAGCGCGCAGTATGGAGACGAACTTCTCGGGGACACATTCATCAGCAGGCAGTGCCACAGTGCTGTACGATCGACAGAATCGAAGGCTGCACGGATATCCAGGAACACAGCAATCGTTGGCCTCTGATACACATGGCGGAGCTCGAGGATCTAGCGGAGTGTGAAGATTTGATCGATGCAGCC